CTCACCATTGCCCCTCACTGGTTTAAATGTAAGCAGGTGTCTGGATTATACATTTTATAAGAGTAACTATGGCACAGCCTTGTTTGGCAGGGCAGGAGACCTGTTTATTTTCTCTGCCGCAGTTTAGTTACACTTACCGGTCATGTCTCTTCCCCAGCCGGTGATTTGACAATGAGAAGCAGCAAAGTGATGAGCTCCCTTCTCTGTCACTCTGCTCTCACCTCCTATCAGAATTCCTTGTTAGCATATGACTACTGTAGCACACCCTTATCTTTTTCCAGTCTGTGCTCTTCTGTATAGGGATTGCAAGTGGCTAGTATCAATCCAAATTCAAGTACTTGCACTGCTTTAATAAAAAAATGAATCATTTTTTTAATATATATTAATATATATATATATATATATATATATATATATACACACACACACACACACACAGTATATATAGATATGATAATAAACACAGAACAGCATTCACTTGTGTCCCTTATACCTGCCAGGATGTCGGTTTTAACATAAGCAATTTCATAAGTGTGCGCTAATGTACTGTAGAACAATGGTCTCCCATTTAAAAAAACATATGTGCTGTAGCATTTAATTATAGGTGTATCTGCTCATACAGTTGTCTCTTAGTCCCCTAGCAGAACCCCTAAAAATACCTGTAGGCCCTGCCCGTGAAGTCACCTAATGCAGCTTCCTGGAATGGGGTGACAACGATGCTGCACTGCTGCAGAATTTAGAGCATAGTTGCCACTCTCATGTATGCTGCTTGAACTACAATGGGATGAAAAACAATTAAAGGGGGCATGGCTATCAGAATTGCCATGCTTATTCACAAAAATTGTTGCTTGTCAATCAGGACCTGGCCACACACAGTCCTGCCCACTACTTTCTGTATTGACAGCACTGACTCTGTTACTGAAACCCTCCCATTGTGAGCTGCATTATCTGGGAGGGGAGTGTGTCAGACACAAATGAAGGCGCATTTGGCTCAGTCAGGGAAGATAAAGGAAGTTTTCTTTAAAACTTTATGAGGCTTGTACATCACATAGTACCTGGATTTGGTATTTGTTTAGATCAGGGGTGTCAAATCCAAACTTACTAAAGGCCATGTCGAAGTTCGTGAATAAAATCAGGGCCCGGACATAAAGAAAAAAAATAAAAATGAACCCTACTGCGTGCCGTGGTACAAAGGGTGGGCAAAGATACCCATGTTTTTTGTAAAATATAAAAGACGGGTTCACATCGGGTAAATAGACACCAAACATGTCAAGCTTTAAAATTGCGTGCGGCTGTGAAATTGCAATAAAAAAATGCCATACCCAAAATTAGCCATAGGCAACGCTTTAAAAGCTTTTACTGCTCATCAGTTTAGTGTTAACAGTGATTAATGGCCCTAAAATTATTTCCCTCACTCTGACATTCGCAGTGATATGTAGCATGTGTGACGCAATGGACACAGTCGTCATTTTCGCACGTAGGCGCACCCGACACATGTTTGTGTGTGTATGTCGGGGACTTTAAAAAAATGTTTCTGTTGTTTGTTTTGTTTTTATATGTGACTTTACATTTATTTTGTAACAATTTTTGTAAAAACTTTTTTTCTTACTTAACATTATTGCTATCACATAGCAGGTAACAAGCCCCCTATGTGATAGCCAATTTACAGAGACATGTCCCCTTTATGGAGACATTAGGGGTCACTAAGACCCCTAATGTCACCTAGGTACCCCCAAAAAAGCTGATGAATCAGAGATCTGCTTCACCAGCTTCTCTCCAACTACAGAAGCCGGAGAATGACAGCAGAATGTAAAATACATCACTCCTGCATTCAGAGAACGGGTTGGAGAGCAGAGGGAGGTCATGTGATCTCTGGTGACACAGCCGCCCTGCGGGTCCCGAGCCCGCACCGGACACAGCGGGGAGGGGGGCCGCTGCCGATCTACAGCCGCCGGACCGCTTGTATGTAAACAGCCATTGTTGGCTGTTTACAATTTAAGCAGTTTTCTTGCTCATGCGCACCCCCACAGTGGCGAACACAAGCGGGACGGGCGGGGACCTTTAAAATCACCCACTTACATCCAAGAGGCTCCGGGCCGGTCGTTTAATTGCAATCGTCTTAAAAAAACCTTGCTGCTGTTTATTCTTCTTATTCTGTGATGACAACTATCCCAGCGCAGCCATATCTGCCCATTACCTGTGCAGTCTCTGCGTCCTGCTTAGTAGTGCTGCACAGTGACTGTTCACTGCCCCTCTCAGTGCAGCTCTATGAGTCACGTCTGACCTGGCTGAAAGCAATGGGCCCACTCTGGGGCTGGCCATCGATGGAACCATTAAGAAGCTTCAATAAGCATTCTTTATCAAAATGATTGCAAGTCATCAAACCAAAGAAATACGTTTTGAATGTTCGTGTTCTGTGGATTTTAGAGCAATTGGCCGTTCTTTTAAATTGTTTGTAATAAACAATCATCCGTGCTGGTTACATGTCTCGATTGTCTGCAAAGAATTATTTTCCATCAACCTTGACAATATTTTGTGACCATTATCTCCCAATTTTAGTGCTGCCGTCATCATGTTTGTGCTTATAATAATGCAAAATCTGTTGGACTCATTGAGTGTTCTTTGAATCGTAATTGATTGACATTTGGTTGGATGTTGCATTGTGTATCATAGAGAATTGCCATTTGTTATTGTGAAATACTTTTTTCGCCTTGTTTAACCCTTTGTTACATCTGATTTACATTGATTTCCTGCAGCCTCTTTACAACCACTTCCAGGGATGACTGCATGGCATTTCTCAGGTAGGGTGCAGCGTACTAAGTAATATGTAAGTGTAACACTTCCAGGTATTTATTTCCTCTCACAGTACTCCCCCTGACATCTACTTCTTCATCTACTTTTCTCTCCGAAAGGATGGCACCATCTTTGTCCAGGCATCATGCGGGGTCACCATCTACTTCCTGGACTGAGATGCCGGATCAGAGAGGACACAGTCATGTCAATCCCCGTGTCTATACAGTTCCTAGTTGTGTTCACAAATGTTAGCCTCTGATCCGCCTCTGCTGCAGCCTCTCCACCTTGTGATTCCCTACAAAGTTACAATGTTGCATGCTGATTACTTGGGAAGTGGGAACTAAGGAAATTCCTTCTTCTTCTTCCTGCAGCAGACTAATGTTGTTATTTCAGGCTATGCAGTCACTAACTCAGAGGCGGCACCAGGCCAGGTGTCACCCAGTTCGTCTTTACATATACATGTGATGTCATCATGTACGCGCGTAATGATATCACACCACTGCCTGTGGTCATTTTGGTGATGGATGCTGGAAAAAAGAGGATGACGTGTGCCCAATGTTTTTAAAGGGGGTCAGGGGCATCCAGAGGCCGGGTGTCACCCTGTC